CTGCATCGTATTTCAATTCCAAGTTGAATACATGTTACCTGTAGCATCTCATATGCCATCTTAGAATAGGCGAGCCTATCTTAGTTGCATTCTTGCATGTGTTGCATTAGGCATCTCAGCATAGTTAGGATTCATGCATGTTTTTTAATTAGATTCTTTCCTTGGCTCGGAGTACTCGGTAAGTGTTTATACTTTAGCATCCTTGCATGCGTGTGAGTAATTGCCATGATAGCATGCTTGCCATGAGGCGATGTGCTTATGTGATATAACTGCTTAAATGCCTGTGGGTGAAGGTTGGGTTGCTTGAATTGGAATAATTCATCAAAACCCGTGTTTTAGCCTACTTGCGAGTAGCAAACTTCAATCCATTTTCAAAACAAACGGATATGCGATACTTTGTTCCAACTTAGGCAATCTAGTCTATACTTGTATGCTGTGCGCATTACATAGTAATTCTAGGTTAATAATCGGAATAAGAGCACATGTGTTTTCAAAAACAAGATATCATGCTTAGCAGTGGCCGATCTTTGACCGGGCGAGCGGGGGTGCTCATGAAATGACCTTCTCCAATCATACCCAAGTTCCCAAGCCGAGGCAACTTTGGTGATGATGGACACGTGGCCTTAGGCACGAGCCAGGGTTTCTTAAATTTTCCCAAAATAAAATATTTAGGTGGCGACTCTATATCTGGCAAAGCAGACCATGTTTGGCACTTCTTTCTAAAAATTAGTTTTTCAAAATGATTTGCCGGATTTGAACTCTTTGGTGATTTATCAATCTTGCATTGCACTTTGCGAGATTAGATTCAGAACCGTAACATCGAGTCCAAACTATAGTATGCCCAATGAACAAAACGGGATTTTTCCCGGGACGTTCGGGGACGTCTACAGCCACTAAGTGGCAAAAGTGTAATTTACTCAAACCAATGTGATTTAGCATCATTTAAACTAATTTAATCATTTCAAATCAAATTTTAATTAAACCTACCTTAAAATCATATAAATCCTAATTAGCATATAACACTAATCGATTTCTGGTTCGGTCGCTGATAAAACCTTCAATTCGCAGTTCAAAGTTAAAACATGAACAGATTCATTCAGAAATCAAACAGATAGAAATGCATTCAAAACAATACACTCATACAATTGATTCGGAATATCGTTCTTATCAGTTACTTATCATGCTCAATCATAGATTAGCACTAATCAGAGGTGAGGATTGTCACATTATCAAACAGAGTAACATGTTATTGTGTAACGGGGTTACATCAATTTCAATGGTAATAATCTTCTTAAAAAGAATTTTATAGTCAATATGGATCTTATTTGATAGACCTTGATGAGAGAATTTTAAAAATATTGGATGTGTTTGGTTTGGTTTGGTTTATGGAGATAAATTTTTTTTAAAAAAATCTTGGGAAAAAAGTTTATAAATTTTGGAAAATGTTAGGCATCATGAAAAATGTTTCATGAAAATGATCATGAACGAATCTTCATCCGTATATTACACTTTGTAACTTATTGTACATCTAATTTAAGGGTCAAAAATCTTTCATGATCATTTTCATGAAATATTTTTCATGATACCTAGCATTATACATAAATTCTTTTGGTTTGTTTGGTTGTATATTTTGGAAATAATTTTAGAGTGTGAGAGTTTGAGATGATTTGATATTTTGTTGGAATTAAGTAGATATGTGTGGAAAAGAAAAAATGATTGAAAATGAGAGATGAGAGATGAGAGAGAAAAAGTGATTGATTGATGTGTAAAAGATAAAAAGTAATTTTGGAAATTTTTTTCCAAAATCACTAAATCAATCAAAATTTTAGAAAATTTTCTCCAAAATTTGTTTCTCAAAAACAAACCAAACAAGACCATTAATTTTATTAAAAATCGATATTTACATCAAAAGTTATATTATTTTAAAGTTTAATATTTTGATAATAGTGATATCAATTGGACTTTTCAATAAATTTTTTTTTTTTTTGTGTTTGTCTTTAATGTATTAAAATTTTATTATGAGGGGATTTTGACCAAGAATAATGTTAGAGATTTCAAAAATTTTACCAAAGTTTCTACTAAGGGGCTGTTTGGGATGTTCTAAATAAATGCATTTTTTTACTTTTTATGAAATATGGGTTGGGTTTGAAGTGATGTGGTAAAGAGATGATGTGACTTAAATAAGATGATGAGACTTAAAAAAAATAGTGATTTTTGACTTTTTTACTTTTTTAGAGATGCCAAACCTAGTCTAAATATCTCACATGGGTGTGAGACTCACACAATGTGTGTTATAACGGGTCCCACACCTATGTGAGACATTTGGCAGAACTTTTGGTAGAGTAAAATTTTTTGGTACTCTAGCATTTTTGTTTGACCAAATCTCCCGAAAAAAAAAAGTTAAGTTAAAAAAACAAAAAGGAAAAAGATTGGTAGCTCGAAATTTGGGGCTCGAATCGCCTGAATTTGATAAAGGCGTTGGTAACCATTCTCTCTCCAAAACCCACTCCAAAATCAAACACGCGCATGTTTTTCTCTCTCATCTCTATCTCTTTCAGACTAGACCCAAAAAAGTAGTGATAATTGTTCTCTCTCTCTCTCTCTCTCCTCTTCAAAATGCACTCTTTTATCCCTTTTTCTCATCCCTTTCAAAATAGTTCTGCAAGATGCATTCAAATAAATGCAAGATGCTCAATTATTTGCAGAACTATTTGCAAGATGCAAGATGCTTAATTATATGTAGCCATGTTCGCGCATGTGAACCTCTTTCTCCAAGATGCATTCCTTTCAATCTCAGAAAAAATCAAGAAAAAAAAGATTCAACTTAAGAATAGAAGAAAGAAAAAATAATATGATTATGGCATCAATATGAAATAGCAGCAATCAATTAAAGTTGTACTCATCACAAACCTGTCATACCCAACACATATACAAGCAAAATCACACAAACCCAAAAATATATTCGAAGAAATCAGAACTAATTGAGAGCTAATTGAAAGACAAAGTGGGATTATAAATTTATTTTGCGTTTTCTTTAAGTTTACCTGATTGGAGAAGAAAGAGACTAAAGAAGAAACAAATAGGAATGAAAATAGCAAGGTCCCAACAACAACAACAAGGTCGCTAATAGAGAGAGAGAGAGAGTGGTGGACGGTGGTCGACAGTCACTGGTTGACGGTGAACACCATGGTCGGTCGGTCGCTCGACTTCAGAGGCAACACAGCTCTGTTCGCACATTCAACTTCATCCCCTCTCTCCTCTCTACTCTCTCCTCTCTCTTACATTTATTTGTTTTGTAAACGCATGGGACCAAATCTCCCGAAAAAAAAAAAGTTAAGTTAAAAAAACAAAAAGGAAAAAGATTGGTAGCTCGAAATTTGGGGCTCGAATCGCCTGAATTTGATAGAAGGCGTTGGTAACCATTCTCTCTCCAAAACCCACTCCAAAATCAAACACGCACATGTTTTTCTCTCTCCTCTCTATCTCTTTCAGACTAGACCCAAAAAAGTAGTGATAATTGTTCTCTCTCTCCTCTCTTCAAAATGCACTCTTTTATCCCTTTTTCTCATCCCTTTCAAAATAGTTCTGCAAGATGCATTCAAATGAATGCAAGATGCTCAATTATTTGCAGAACTATTTGCAAGATGCAAGATGCTCAATTATATGTAGCCATGTTCGCGCATGTGAACCTCTTTCTCCAAGATGCATTCCTTTCAATCTCAGAAAAAATCAAGAAAAAAAAATTCAACTTAAGAATAGAAGAAAGAAAAAATAATATGATTATGGCATCAATATGAAATAGCAGCAATCAATTAAAGTTGTACTCATCACAAACCCGTCATACCCAACACATATACAAGCAAAATCACACAAACCCAAAAATATATTCGAAGAAATCAGAACTAATTGAGAGCCAATTGAAAGACAAAGTGGGATTATAAATTTATTTTGCGTTTTCTTTGAGTTTACCTGATTGGAGAAGAAAGAGACTAAAGAAGAGACAGAGAGGAATGAAAATAGCAAGGTCCCAACAACAACAACAAGGTCGCTAATAGAGAGAGAGAGAGTGGTGGACGGTGGTCGACAGTCACTGGTTGACGGTGAACACCATGGTCGGTCGGTCGCTCGACTTCAGAGGCAACACAGCTCTGTTCGCACATTCAACTTCATCCCCTCTCTCCTCTCTACTCTCTCCTCTCTCTTACATTTATTTGTTTTGTAAACGCATGGGTTTCACGCTGACTTGGAGCAAATGGGCCAAACCCTACAATAACAGATTCCAACTCATTCGAGCCATTCGAGGGGAGGCTTATTCGAGCTACATAGCAGATCTGAAACAAAAAACAAAAAAAGGCTTGTTTTGGTTTGTATCTTAAGATATAATTTTTTAGAAAAATTTTTAAAATTTTGTTTAGTTCAAATTTTTTGAAAAAAATTTTTAAAATTGTTTTTTCTCTTTTATATATCAATCAATCACTTTTTCTCTCTCATTTCTCATTCTCAATACTTTTTCTCTCACACACATCTACTTAACTATAACAAAATATCAAATTATTTTTAAACTCTCAAACTCCAAAATTACTTTCAAAATATACAACTAAACAAACTAAAAAAATTTATAAACTCTTCCTTTAATATATTTTTTAAAAAATTTACCTCAAAAAACAAATCAAACCTATTCAAAATCTCTAGGGAGGAGAGGAGACTTCCTAAAGGATTATTATTATCAGCAATGCTAGGTATCATGAAAATTTTGTCATGAAAATAATCATGAAAGCTTTGTGACCCTTAAATTACACTTAGAATAAAGCACCACACACTAATCAAGGTAATCCAAAGATCATAAATTTTTCATGATCATTTTCATGACAAAATTTTCATGATTCCTAACTTTCCCCTATTACTATAAATAAATTTCCATCACAATTTAAGAATAATAAATTGTGGGGTCCAAATTAGAAAAGATTTCTCTGCCCTACCAAATATGTCTTTTACTCTCTCTCTCGCGCAACAAAGTAAAGTCCTCTCTTCCCTACTCTGTTGTCCAAGTCTGCTGCGAAAGAGAAAGAGTGATGCAGATCTTCGTGAAAACCCTAACCGGGAAGACCATCACTCTCGAAGTCGAGAGCAGCGACACCATCGACAATGTCAAGGCCAAGATTCAGGTCTATCTCCTCTCTCTCTCTCTCTCTCTCTCTACGTTTATTTTATTGCAATTTAGGGTTTGGTTTCTTGAATTTGTCTATTATTGGTTTCAATCGATCTTTTCTTCGATTTCTTTTTTATTTTGATAAACGATTGTTCTTTCGATTCGAGGGCTTTGCTGAATCCAGGGTTTCCGAATTAGTTTTGATTTTTTGCTTGCTTCTTGGTATTTGTTGGGGTTTCTAGTTGTTTCTTTATGTGGGTTTCAATGTATATAATCATGGCTTAATTTAAACGCAGGGTTTAACTAAATCGGTAATACCGGTTGTTTAATTCGTTTTAGTTTGTGATTACTGCTTTCTTTATGCTATAACACTATGCTTGGATTGAGTGATTTGGAGAGAAAAGAAAAGAAATGGAGAGATATGTATTTTTTTTTACTTGTTTGGATAACTTAAGTGGAAGAGAAATGAGGAGAAATGGAAAGAAACGGACAGAAATTCATTTCTCTTATAACCTTCTTCAATCTTTCCAAAAGTGGAGAGATTGGGAGAGAAAATAAGCCAACAGATTTTTATATTTTCATAATACTAATTTTGTTCCTGTAAAAATAAAAGAAATAAAATGATTGACACTCATGTCCTCAAGGGCTTTTATGTTATTTTGGTAATATATCTAAAAAGTTTCTTTTCATTTCTCTTATGAAATCTAACCAAACAACCAGGAGAGAAATTACAATCATTTCTTTTATTTTTATTTTTTATTTATCCAAACAAGAAAGAGAGAAATCACAATCATTTTTTTTATTTTCTTTTATAACTTAAGTAATCATTTTTTTTTTCTTTTCTCTCATAGGTTCCCAAACATAGTGTAAAGGTTTCAATTTTTTTGGGAGTTTATGTAATTGTAATGATTGAATATAATCTTTTTCCTTTGCATCACTGATTCATGAACCACGCTGTTGCTTTTTGATTAAGCTATATTGATTCGTCAATAGAGTAGTGGCCCGCTTGATAGGGGGTTCTTGGTTTCCTGTTCTTCTAAGAGAATCCAATGGTTGTACCTCTGGATTCCGAACTTGTGAAGTAATCTAACTTGCTAACATCCTACCAAGTGCCAAAATAAAAAATCAATCTTTAATTTGTTGTCATTAAGCAAATCTATACGAAAACCACTGTTGTAATGGTTACAAGCTCCAATTGTACTACCCTTGTTACGAATTATGCTCAAACTACCTACCTCCCACAATTTTAACTGATAAGACTCAATAACATTTATTTATTTCTGTGGGATAAGTAAGACTTTGAGAGAATCACAACTGCAACTACCACAAACCAGGACTCTCTGCTTAACTACCTATGGGTATCTGTACTCATACTCAGTGTAGGTGATCATATGTATGACATATATCTAGTATTTTCAATTGAACTCGGCTTTGTGTAGGAGATAAGCAGTTTGGCTCAGCTGGACCTTTTTGAATTGTCAACCTTACCTTTCAAAGTCTCTTGTTTTTTCATCATCCATCAAATATCATCTCTACCTTCCTGTTCCCTAAAGCAATAAGCTACCAGTCTTTTTCTGGGAAAACATAAGGGTAAAAAATTAAGTTTTGATTCTTTTTTAACTATTCTCTCTTTGGGCTCTTGGGGGTGGTCTTAGTAATTAAAACAAGTATAATACGCAAAAAAGAAAAAAAAGAAAAATATTATGCCACCAAACATTTAAAAATTAGTAACTTACTATCTGACCTATCTTATTGTCCTAAAAAATGCTAGAACATTGTCAAAGCCCGTGTTGTCAAGTCAAGTAAGGCCATTACTTTACTTGATCCCATTCTGTATGTAGCCTAAAATACTCTTTGAACTTGAACTGAGCTTGGTTTTCTTGCGATCCAAACATACGAGTCAAATGCCAATCCGAACTTGATGAACTTGGCTTGTGCACTTATGATGTAACACCCACAACATCTATTCTTGTATTTAAGAAATGTATTATTTCCTTATCTGAGATTATGAAGAATAGGTGATAGCAGGAAGAAAGGAATACAGTGGAGATAGACGGTTGGGAGAGAAATATTCTGAGAAATAAGCATAGATAATTAAGACTAGAGAAATAGAGAAGAGAAGGGAAGATAGGATGAGGGCAGAAAAGATAAGGGGAGATAGGTAGGGGAAGATCATTAGAAAGGAGAGAAGAGTTCCAGGTAGAGGTAATTGAGAGGGAAAGAAAGAAGATAGTTAAAATAGAACAGAGTACACATAGAAGAGGTAGGGGCAACATTGTTTGAATTAATCATTAGTTTCATTTATTAGTGGATGCTACCCAAAAACATGGCCTATTCCATAGGCTTTATGAAACCCTCATCCTCACCAATAGAAAAACATGCAAAATCTTAAATTTCATTCTTAATCACTGGAAACTCCTGCCGAAGTCAAAGTACAGCATAATTAATTTTAAGATTCCCAAATGGGAAAATTACTGACACTTCTATTTTTGTATGAACTTCTCTTGGGTATGCTACCATTGAGAACCATCAATTTCTTTTTTTGGCCGTCTCCTAATTTTAAGTTGAATGCCATAGGTCTTCAAGTTCTTGTTTTGTGTTCATTTTGGCCTTGGATGGTTCTGTCACATTGTGGTTGCTGATTTTTTCTGATCATTTGATTATCAGTTTGGGAACCTTGAAATTAATTATTTTAACGCTTGCAAAATAAAAAAATTGTCTTTGAATGGTTTGCTACAAAGTCATAGCATTGGCTGGTCTGTGCATGCTAAGTTGTAGAGCATCTATTGATGTTGAAGAACCTTCAACCTCTTCATACCTAGCTTTGGTTATATATTCTTAATTGCCTGTTGCTTAATGTAGAGTGTTGTTTAGTACTTGCATATAACACAATCAACTCTGCAGTTTTTATGAGTAGGGAATCAAAATACTCGTTTGAGTTTGCTTTCTTTATGTGATCACCCCCCCATTCTGGGCCTTGTCCTATGCCACCATTCTTTTTCTATTGTGGGTTCTCTATGGTCCGCCGGGAGTTTGTCTGGAAATGTTCTACTTTAGTCCATGTTCTTCCATGAGTTACTGTACTTGTGTTTGGCTAGAGCCTAAAGTTTTGTGTGTTTACCAGGACAAGGAAGGTATCCCGCCAGATCAACAGAGATTGATTTTTGCTGGCAAACAATTGGAAGATGGCCGAACTCTTGCAGATTACAACATCCAGAAGGAGTCCACACTTCATCTGGTTTTGAGGCTTAGGGGTGGAACTATGATTAAGGTGAAGACTCTCACTGGAAAAGAAATTGAAATTGATATTGAACCAACTGATACCATTGATCGGATCAAGGAAAGGGTTGAGGAGAAAGAAGGAATTCCTCCAGTGCAGCAACGGTTTGTATTATCTCTTAAACTTAATATGTTTGGTTACATAATTCAGTGCAGTGTTTTCTTCATAGGATTTGGCAGCCGGATTTTTTCATTGGAATGGTTTTCATTATGAATAAATTATTTGGTTTCTCATGATCTGAATTGGTTATTCCACTGCTTGCATGCTTTTAGTTCTGCTGTTAAGCATATAGAACTCATCTTCTTCTCAATCGCAACTGTTTAGTGTGGTTATAGTTATTCTACAAGAATATTTAGTGTCACTTTTTAATATGACCACTGTCTGCAGGCTAATTTACGCTGGAAAGCAGCTTGGAGATGACAAAACAGCTAAAGATTATAATATTGAGGGTGGCTCTGTACTTCATCTTGTGCTTGCACTGAGGGGTGGTAGTCTCTAAATTATGGTTATGATGTTAGGAAATTGAACTTGTTTGGCTTTTATTACATACTGGTATGCGATGAATGGTTGAGTTGCATGGTCTTGTGGGAAAACCCAAAAACTTGTGTCCTTTTTTATGGTTATTTAATATTTAATGTTATAGTACCATTTCAACCCCCCAAAACAAAGAAAGAAATCTTGTAGTAGAACATATTCTAATCAGTTGCCCTGGACATGATAGTGCCTTAAATTTTTCTTCGTTGTGTACCCTTTTCATGGTGAATTGATTTTGTGCAGGTTTCATTAACATTTTTGCTAGTTGATCTGTTATCTGGATTGCATATGTCATGAATTCAAGTTGTGATTAATTGTAAATTTTTACACACAGCTGCAGTATCAATGACATGAAACGCAGTTTATTGTGTTTGAATAAGGTCTGCTATTATGGGGGCTTGTTCATGTTTATGCAAAGATTTGGAGATAATTAAGGTCCTTTTGTGATTGTTTAGTTTACACATACAACTGAATGAGTTCAAAGCAAACTGAACTTAGATGTTTGGTTTGTTTACCAGGTTTATTACTTCGTTCCTGAGTTAGTCTCTGCTGCAAAATGGGATGGATTGGCCAGTCCTGTTTCTTGCTGTACCTTTTTTTTCTTTTTTTGTTGGATACATCGGAAAGGATCTTGGCATACGGTTGGTGGAAGATGAAAAACCTGTTTTTGGAGGCTGTTTTTTACCAATCCCTTTCTAATCTTTTCACTTCTTTTTTATTTTGATGAAAAATATTTTACTCATTTTGTAAAGTTTGGTGTAACAAAAAAACAAGTCAACAAAAAATAAATGTATGTGTAATTTTTTTTTTTTTTTTTGTTGGAAAGTGAAACTTTTTTTTGGGACCAAACACTTGCCAACGTCACTACAACACCACTTACCATCTCCACAACTACTACTTCAGCATCCTTTTAGCTCCACCACCAATACAAAATGTTTTTTTTGATTAAGTTGTAGTATGAAATTTTTTTTCACTCCACTCTAGATGTCACTAGCGTAAGATTTAAAAATGTTAAAATTAAAATGGCATCGAATTGAAGGAGGGGGAGAGTCTGATTTTGTTCACACATGTTTGAGCTAATCATGTTTTGTGTGTTGTTCACTCACTAAAAAAATTGGCTTAACAAGTTACAAATATTCATGTTGAGGAAGGGGCGTTGTGTATTGAAAATAGAAATAGAAATAGGCTAGTAGGATCATACTAACCTGGGAATCCTACATGAGGCTGTGAATAAATTGGGTTCCACCAACCTACCAAAAGTGTGGTTTTTAAGTTCTGATTATGATTTTTGATAACCAAATGACAATAATGAAGTTGTTATAAGCATTTGGAAATTAATTGTAAACACAATTTATAGGCAATTTTGATTTAAAATGATGTGACAACTCTTAGGCCATATTACTTTAATAATTTTCTCAACGCACATATAGAAAAATATGATTTTCTCATCGCACATATGGAAAAATATATAATGGAAAGGGAAAGGCAATGAGACAAGCTTAATGCCTAACTCCCTTACTTTTAATAAGCATAATCTAATCACCTACCAAACCTTTGTGATGTAGTGTGAAAGGGAAATGAAAATTAAAGAAAATAAAATTGTTTATACATATTTATTTTTATATAAAATAATTAACGAATTCCCCCTGCCCCAATAAATCACTCCTCTTACTTGGGTTCAAGTTCAAGTTCAAGTGGCTATTAATAAATATGATGCAAGCAAATGATTATTAATGTTAAATTAATTTAATTTTTTACATGAATAATCTTGTATACAAATTTTATAAAATAAAATATTTGAATTATGAAAAATATAGTACATAAGGTTGAGTTTAGTGAGAGCTCATAATAAATTTTGATATCATTTTGAGAGCACATAATAATAATAATAATGAATTAGACCATAAATCACGGGGTATTGCCCACTCATAGTATATAGTAGAATCGTCAGCCAATGTTGCAAGAAATGTGTGTATGTGTTTTGATTAATTTAGTTTTTTAGTAATTTGTTAGCTTCGAATTAATTAAGCTTCAGATAACCTAAGTTGAACCCATTTGACAGTAGACATGTCACCCTCCTCTGGGGTAACATATTCTCATCTCCCTTTATCTTATTTTATTTTTTATATTGAATTGAAAAATGAAAACAAGCCTGCCTAGCTTTCTTGGAACCTTAAGCAAAACCCTTGAATGACACTCTTCATTTTTTTTTTAATAAAGAATAACAAAAATTTACTTTCATGTATAACTATTAAAACTACATAATCAAATTTATTTATATAGATAACAAAATTCCATTTACAATAAGAACAAAAAAAATACTAATTTTCTAGTGAAATGAAAAAATAAATAAATAAATTCATTTCTTGGTTTAGGATTTAGAGAATATGTATTAACCGAACGTCTGCTTGAGAGTCACTACATGGTGTTTTTTTTTGGCAATTAAGATCCTTATTTTAAAAAAAAAAAAATCATAAATTGATCACCAAACCCTTTGCTTTGGATTGGGTCCTTTTTTTTTCTTTTTTTTTTAATAATTATTATCTAAAATTAAATAAGTAAATAAAAAATAAGATAATTTGGATATAGTATAGGGGCTGAATTTTTTTGAATCCTTAATTTCAAAAAAAATATGAAGGTTCTGGAAAGTGTCGGCCTGTCTAGCCTATGCCTGAGGCGACTTTGAATAAACATATTGGCTGTATTCCCTACAGTTTTTCGTAAGCACAAAAGTTGATAATAAAAACAAAATCTTAAAAATTATTTTTCATACTTTTAGATAATCTACGATTTAAATTTATTTTGGATGTGTTTGAAACAATGATTGAGAAAAAAATGAAAAGAAGAAAAAAAGTTAGAAAACATAACTTTTATTTTTTTTCTCACTCACAAATTTCTATTTAAATCATTGATCTAAACATAACCTTAAACTATTTTTGTATAGCAAACAATAATAAAAAATTATACCAAATATTCTGATAATAATTCATAAAATTAAAAAAGAAGAAGTTATAAACCATGCACCAAATGGAGCCATTGTCACTTAGATTTTTATTTTATTTTATTATTCATCAATAGAAAATTATTTACAATTTGAAGAGAATTGTATCCGGATAATTTTGATCTAATCTAAAATGGAAAAGAAATTATCAATTGTTGCATTTAGGAAGAATTAAACCCTTAACTATTCGTAAAAAAGTATACAATAGTAATCAACTAAGATACCTCAACTGGTTTACTTAGACTATGGATTGTTTTGAAAAGTTGGTAAAAAGTTGACTTTTTATTTTTTAGTTTAATATTTATTTATGGTGTCAAATCAAATTAAAATGATCAAAATATTCTTACCCAACATAAGAGATTTATTTTTTTATTTTTTTTCATAGGCCCTAATTTATAATTTTAGGACTGCGTTTTTGGCACTTCTCAAAGGGATTTTGTTGCCATTTTGACGGCCACGTTTTTGGACATTTTGTCAAAAAATATGACTGTTTACTCTGTTCTCAAAATGACACTATATTTAAATAATGAATTTGAATAAAAATTTAAAAAGTGAAAAAAAAAATGTGAAGACCATGTAAATAAAATAAAAATTAATTTTTTTTACTTTTAAACTTTAATTTAAGTTTATAATCTAAACGTAAGGTTAAAAAAATCGATAGGGACCTCATTATTAATATCTTGCAAAAAGTAAACAATTTGATACCCCATTTGTCAAACTCAAACTCTTAAAATCAAACTGTACACATTCCCTGAGTTGAAGCATAGGGGTCCCTCAAATGTCAAATGTTGATACGTTGATATCCACTTAAAAGCACACCCACCAACTTGGCACTACACCATCCATTGCGTAAGACACACGTCATGCCTATGTTACTCCCCCCCTCTCTCTCTCTAAAAAAACTAGTTTGATTTAGGTCAAGTTTGACATAACCTAAATAATACAAAAAGTCAAAAAGTCACTATCCTATTTAAGTCACATCATCTTATTTAAATCACATCACCTCTCTAACACATCACATCAAATCCAACTCAAACCTAACCCATATAAGCTGATAAGTCAAAAAGTGCACTTTTTTAGAACATCCCAAACCAACCCTTAGTCATTTTTAATTTGCAAAAGAAGACTCATTCTGTTTAGGATTAGTTTTCAAAATTTATTTTTAAAAAAAATTGACTTTTTTTATTTTTATATTTTTACTAAATTTTTTAAAATATTTTTAACAATATTTTTAATTTTTAGACACACTTAACATAAATATACTTAAAAAGTATAATATTTATGAAAAAAGTCTTTAAAAAATTCACTAGATACCAAAAATACAAAAAAACTGTAAAAATTCAATATATTTTTTATATTTTTGTGTGTTTATTAATTTTTTAAAATATTTTTTCACAAATATTTTACTATTTAGATACATTTAAGGTATATCTAAAAAAGTAAAAAATTATTTAAAATTTTAAAAATATTCACTAAAAATAAAAAAATACAAAAAATAAAATACTAAATTTTCAAAAAAATAAATTTAAAAAATTAAAGCCAAACAAATTGACTGACTGATTTTTTTTTAGTCATAAAAAGTCAATCCATGGTTAGCGAAGCTTACTAACCCAAAAGGAAGATGTCAAAATTAGGTAACAAATGGTAAAAGGATTTAATGTTTGTTTCCCTAACTGATGACTTAGTGGCAGATTTAATTTATATAATATATGTGCACTTTTAATTAGGTTGGACTAGGTGATTAATATGCCTGCATGGTGCATGGGTTTGGAATGTGTTATAGATTAAATTTTTTTTTATCACTACTGTTAGAATAATTGAATTTGTAAATTGCACCAATTTTTCTTGACATGATCAAATTATATTAATTTTTCACATTGTATTAATTTGGTTTAATTAATAATGTTTCTTTAAAAATTAGAATGAAATTAATTGAAAAATAAATTCATTTGAAGTTTGTTTAGTTTGAAATGGTTGGATCCATACTATCATCAAGACGATTGGGGCATTAATGTCTAGTTTGATATAATTCATGTCTTTTTAAATAAACCATTATCTTTAATTCCAAATTTTAATAAAATTTATAACCGAATTGATACAAATATAAACAATTTAAAAGTAAAATTAATACAATTAAAATGCAATAACTAAATGAGAGAGAAATTATAAAACTTATATGGATTTTAAACAAAAATTTTATGAATGTATCACTCATTACATCATTACTGAAAAATTATTATAACACTGTATTT